TTTTTTTCCATTTTCTGTCATGCCTTATTTTGCTGGGATGAGAGGTATTGCAAAACTACACCCTACAGTCTTCAGGTCCCTTCTGTCCTTGAGGAACCTAACAAAGGCCTTAGGAATATGAAAACATACTATGAGGCATCAATTCTCAAAGCACAGGCTCCAACCAGATTCGGACAGCAACTAAGTCGGACTAGGATTGTCCCATTACACATTTCTCACAGCACAATACTTTTGTGTAGAAATACCACAGTATTAAGGTGTTGCAAAAACAAACAAACAAAAAAGAGAACAGAAATTGAGAGCATTGTCTAGATATTTGTATTTCAAACTGAAACGAAACAATTGGTACATTTTTCCTGATAAAATACAAACTTGGAAGGCTCATTATGTTTTGCTACCAGCAATAGGAGAGGCTTATGGTTACAAATACTTTCAAACAAAAAGTGCCATTTCTCTTAAGTCTGAAGCAAATTAATGAAAGAGATTTGTTCTTAGAGGCCTTTGATGTTACCTCGAAATCTGATTTGAACCTCTGGACATGAAGTTTGAGACTCCCTGCTCTGAGGAAAAAAAACACCTTAGCAAAAGTTTAGTATCACCGTAAAGGGTTTTATTCACCTATCAAATCAGAGCAAGTAAAACTATCCTGTGTGTAACACTTGTAGGAGATATTTTAAGCCTTACTTCACTGTCACAGGGATGAGATTCCTAAAATTCAGTTTGATAGGCCAATAATGGAACATAAAACGGCTTGTCTAATATCTTTATCACATCATCTTTATAACCCCCAATTTCTCTGGCATTTACAATCTAAGTGTAATGCACATTTAATGCCACCCCGCACTGTGGCCCCACTCCTACTGAGACAGCGCTGACAGCAAAGCAGCTCGCTCGTTTACATGTGTTCCACATCGTTTCGCCTGCTGCCCAAACAAGGTGCCGCTGTCGGCTTTAACCGCAGCAGGGGGGTTGTGGGGGGCATTGGTTTGGTCTACAGCCCTCCTCAAGGGAGACCGCTGCTCATAATGGTAATTTAAGTGTAAAATCTGGTCTCTGGGAAAAAGGTCATTGAATCTGCATAAGCCCTTGAGCCAGGCTTAGGACCTTCCGTTGGCCTTCAAGGGGATGAGAGGCAGAGAAAGACCAGCTTCCATCTCTTCCTTTTTCTCCTTCACTGGAATCCCCCCTACCTCACTTTTCATGCCCCCCTCCACATGCCCAAGTCCCTTGGCTCTGCAGTTCCACTTGGTGCTTGATCTATGTCTGTGAACAATAGCTAGAGACACGATAGAAGCGGGGGCCAGAGGGAGATGGGATAAGAGCCTCCGTTGTTGTTGTTCCTCAAATGCCCTCTGCATCCTAAAATGAGACTCAGTGATGGGAAGATCAATACTGTATTCATGTGTATTTTCCAACACCATTACATGGACACCCGCATCCATGTTCAAACAGGGGCACTTTGATTGGCTCCTCTTGTCTTTATGTAATGAATCCAGCCATTTCTGGCTGGCAGATGGGGAAAAGTGCAACTGAAACAAAACAGTGTCAGTCATCTGTGGCACCGCATATTAGAGAGGAACTTTTGCTCAAACTTAAGGAGTATAAGCATATGTTGTTTTGTCTTTTTGATGAGGGTTAGTCTTCTTTCTCTGTGCCGCTCTACTTCAAGTGCGGTGAGACTCTGAGGGGAGCATTTCTGTCAACAGATGGCAAAATTAGCTTAGGGCAAATCACATTCTGGTTCTTATCTACAAGTAAATATAACAGCATGTAAAATAAAGTGCAGCATCTGCAAATTAAATAGCATGCACTGGAACAGCATGTAAAGAAACACAAGTATGTTAATGTAATTACTCACTTGTGGCAGTGAACAGTGAAACCACAAACACCACTGACACAATCATTCAGACAGTTCAATAAATTTCATTTTAAAATTCTGGTTAAGCTTTACTGTTAGGTATTCAATTTGATTTGAATGATGTTTTACTGTAATGGATCGATGGTCCAATAGAGAGTGAAATGAAGATTTATACGATTTAGAAATTCACTGATCAGAATTTTATATCCATGCTTTTGAAAAGCTTTAATTGTACTTTCATTATTAAAATATGAGAACACACGTGAAGATTATTAGAAGATTGGATTAATCTTCTAATAATCTTAGAAGATTATTTCTTCTAAGTTTTAGTAAATATTTTAAAACAAACAGAATGATCTAACTAAATTCAACTGGCTTTTGCATCCTCCATTAGCATCCCACATTAGCAACTTATCGCATTAGAACAGCTAGCTTTAGAAAACAGCGATCTCTGAGAGACAATGTTCATTCTTACCTTATCTCCGAGAATTCCAAGTGATTACCAATAATTCAAATTTCAAGACAGAAATTAGAAGCTCAAAAGTGAAAACAGCACCGTTGCTGGAAGTATTCCTGTGTATGTAGGATGTATGTAGTCATCCGTCCTGATAAAGTCTTTTTCTCTCTCACTGTGAATAAGCTGTGACGCTATTTAAAAACAGGTTGTTTTAAAATAGTTTCACACATATAATATTATGCCTGACAAAGTAACTAATCTGCATACTGAGGATATCTAACTTTGAGTCTAATACTGGAATCTAAACAGGAGCCTTGATTTTGTGACTGAGTCACGCTTAGTCATGGTTTAATATTTGACTGACATTTTCACTTCTAAATGGATGGTCAGAGCAAATCGAGGTGAAAAATCGACCAATTAATGTAGCCTGCTGATTTCAGATTATATTTCTAATAACGATGAATCAGAAATTAAGAGAGAAAGAAGTATCTCATAACCTGATAGGTTGAGTCTTAACTTTCTTCCTACACAGCCCAAAATCTAAGCCCAGAAGTTCAACCTTTTAGAAACTATGATAATTGTTGGGGTTGGGCCTCTTTAAATTATGTTTTAAAAATGAAAATACTGTCAGGCTTCATTTCCTCCTACGCTGATAATTAAGAAAAGGTTATTTTCAAACCATAACGAAGGTGGTCGTGACAACCCATCCCTGGAGCATTTTCCCTAAGTTTTAAAAACATGTGGGAATACTTTGACTCTGACATAAAAAAGGATCAGGATGGCCTACATAGTAAAGGCTAACAGAGCTACCACGACCATGTGAGAATTTTAATAGTATCTCATTTAAAGCTGCTGGACATAAATGTCATCCTAAGCAAACAATCAAAGAAAGTTCATAAATGATGCACAATTAAAAAAAGTTGAACAATGGATGTCTTTAGCCCAGCAGACATACAGAAGTAAGACATTAAGGTAAACAATGTAAATTAGTAATTAAATTAATTTCTTTCTACAAAATCATTACATTAACTGGATTAAAATCTACCAAATTTATCTTTATTGAATTTAGATCATTTTTTATTAAATCATAAAATTGACTTACAATTATATACAGCGGTGACATTTCTTTTTACAATTATTTTTGATCATTTGTATCATAAATGTTTCAAATTGTATATATTAAGCTGTTAATATATGACACTTAAGTGATCAGATTTCACCCAGATGTGCAATGCAAAAAAAAAATAAAATAAAATAAAACATTCAGCTGAACAATATTGTTGTTTTCTCTTGAAATGCATCCAAATATGTCCAAAAAAGTCAGACATTTCTGTCCAGACAGCCAATTAGACTTTCAACAATGCACCCATTTGTTACTAATTTTGAAAAGTTGTGAGGGTGTTCATCAGAAAAAAATTAAAGAAATTAAAGTATGAAGATATGAACAATGAGTGGCATAATTCCAGCCTTCCTCCTAGATTGTTAGATGACGTCTAAATTAGTCTGGGTACCTGTTTTTTTAAAACTGTCCAAATGTCTGAAAACAGAATTTCTGTTTCCGTGATGAACTGATTTATTATTTTTGCTTTTCAGAAAGCAATCATCAAATTAGAGTGTTGTGCTGCACTGGAAGTTGTAATGTGTCGATATATATCTATTCTTCAAACACAAATGCCTCACATTTACTTTTTTAATGTAATTTTTTTTACATAATTACAGAAATTAAAAGGAACTTGAAGCAGTGTATTTGTTTAGAAATTTGTAGTACTATGACATACTTAAAAGCCATGAATGAAGTGTTTGTAGAAACATTATTTTGAATTCTTTATGGTCTTACAACATCAACTGAGAAGAAATTTGTGTACAGCAAATCTTAGTGCCATTTTTTTTTTAATTTATTTATTATGGAGAGTGTCTATTTAGAGGTTTTTCAAGGAACCTCTACATAGACACTAGGAGGTTTTGTACTGACTGACCGCAAGACAACTAAAAAGTGCAAACTTGGAACCTCTGATGTTTTTGGCCACAGCTACTAAGATATAACTGAGGTTATGCACAAAAAAGTCAAAACATAAACAACTAATCAGTTCTAAAAAAAATACAAGCAAGGACATTATCACCTCTTTCTTTTCTCCTCCCTTTTTTTGAGTGTGCTTTTGAGAAAATAAGTATATTTCATCAGGCAGGCTAAAAGTTTTTATCTCAGCCAGAAACAGAGATAAACACCAAGATAAACACCAAGACACAATATGTACATCCATAATGGATGCTCATTTTTCTCTGATTTTATATTTGACCTAAAGCAATTCTGGTCTTACAAAAATGTCCAATAAATCTCTGATGAGTAAATGTTAAAATATAATCTGTTTTTTCCAAAAATGGAAGAAAAAACAGGACCATTATTTTTATCTTCATTCCATCCCAAACCTGCGATTGATTGAGTCTGTATTGAATGCTTAACCACTACAATGATTGATTGTTCCCAATTAAATGTGCGAGAGAGACATTTCCTTTTAAACCTACAAACCTGAACACTTTATGGTAGCAGATATCTTTTCACCACTAAGCTGATTTGTTGTAATCTAAATTAGGTTGATGTTGAAACTAGAGCCAAACCATAAAAAAAGGTAAGACTGTGCTCTTTCCGCCTGCCTTTTTTCTTTCTGTCTCCATTTCAGTTCTTACCTTTCCTCTCTGTCTTCTCCATGCTGTTGTTGGCTTGACCTCTGCTCTCGACCCCTGACATTCGACCCCGAGACATCTGATCAGTCACCACTCTGGAAGGACCAAATTAATAGAAGAGTTGCTTGTTAATTGCATAAGGGGCGAGCTAAGAGATTCATCACCTCAGTCATTGCCATTGCTTTACTTTGACTCCCGCCCCCCCTTTCCCTTCTTGGGTTTCCCAAAGGGCGTTTGGGGGCATGCCCAGCTGTGCTTTTTCCTATAACCCTATCTGTGTTGTGCTGTGTAATTATTCAGCATCAGCCCTTATTAATCAAGTCGATGCCCTTGCGTTTTAAATGGAAATTGCGGGGATTAATACAAGCATTCATTTTGTCCAGGAAATCTTGATGGCTTTAGACGACTAATCGAATTGGAATAAAGAGGCCAGAGTGATGGGAGGGACCTGATTGAATTAAGGGAGACGGGAAAGCACACATTACACTGTATCTGCCAGCAGGGTTGTAGGCAAAAAAAAACACAACGACGCAAAGGTCACCGAGCATCGTCCACAATGATATTTTGACAAGTCACAAGTGGCTTGTGGTTGAGGTAATAGTTTGCACTGTAAAGCATGTAGTAAAGCAAGAAAAGTAAAAACCACTGTTTTTGGCTTTACACTATGTATAGGCGCAGACATGCCGAAATACTGCCACAGCTTTCCTTACAAATCCCCCTGTCCATTCCAACAAATCCACCTTTCCGCTCCCTCTTTATCATCCCACCTCTCCATCATGCTTCCTTTAACCATGTCTTCAGTCCCTGCAACCCAGATTGACAGACGGATTAGATTGGACACAGTTGATGGCGGTGGAAGCAATCAGATCTGGTGTTTGGCAGAGGTTTTGTTTGTGTAAAATGACACACAGGCCTCTCTCCATAAGAGATGCCATTGGCACAATCTCGCAGGGCGATTGCTATCAGGCCCGGTGGAGGTGTTCCAACATGTCATTTGTCTGTCATTTGTTTGTCAACTGACGACAGCTCGGTGTCTCTCCGGTGCATTCGAGTGGGTGGGCACGTGTGTGTGTGTCTGCAACGGTGAAAAAAAAATGCACACTGTTGTATATTTCCTCCCTCCAGCACCTCTCCTTCAGGTCTCGTCTCCTCTTTTTGATACAGCGGTGACATTTTTTGACAGCATGTAGATGGATAAGATTTGTTGCGCCTATGAGCCATCAAGGGATTAGAAATGCATACTCCTTTTGGCAGACACTGTCTACATAGCTTTCTCTTGACAATGCAAGATTCAACCAAACAGCTCCTGTGTCGTTAGTTTTGCACCGACTTTGACAGGAGAAAAGCCACAAGATAAAGTGAATCTCTAAAGAAAAAAAAAATGTTAAGAGGTATGGCTTCAATCTGGAACAGTTGCAATGAGTATACAGCACCTTCAAATAGCATTGACGGCCCTTGAACTTTTTTTTTTCCATTTCGTCACACTACAATCACCAATCTCAATTGGTGATAGAGATTGGTGCATTTGTACACACATCATTTTATTTTAATACCTCCAAACAAAATACCATGTACCTAAAAAATATCAAACTCACCTAATTAGTAAGTACAGCCCATCTGTGGTTGATTTAATTAATAGTATATGCACAGCTGATTTGTGAATGTCTTGGAGGTTTGTTGGAGAGGACTTGTGAACCAACAGCAATGCCAGACAAGTCGGGGATACAGTTAGGGAAATGTAACAGGACTGAGGTTTTGCACACTATCCTAAGCTTTGAACATATCATGCAGCATCGTTCGGTCCATCAATCAAAATGAAGAGTATTTATGACGAGTACAAACCAACCAAAGCATGGCTATGCACCTACACTGAAAAGGTGGAAAAGGAGACTGCTATTCCGAAAAGTAGCCAATAGAGCCATTGGTAACTCTGAACGAGCTGCAGAGATCCACAGATCAAATGGACAGGACAACTATTAGTTATTAGTTGTGCACAAATTTGGTGTTAATGGGTGTCGAGAAGAAAACCATTGTTGAAACAAAGCTTTGAAATGTCCTGTTTGCAAGTTACATCAAGGTATATAGGGGGTAAAATAATCATGTGGACGAAGGTTGTCCTGCCAGAAAAGAAAAAAATTTTACATTTTGGCCTACATGCAATGTTTTTTATGAAGGGGGGGAAAAAATCACTACATAGCTCCCTAAACACGTAGCACTCATGGTAAAACAGCAGTGGCAGCACCGATGCTTTTCTTCAGCATTGATAGGAAAGCCTGAGAAGATGTGAAAAAACAATCCGAGAAGAAACACTTAGAGGCTAGAGATGTCTTGGGACAGATGTTGCCACTTTGTAGATCTAGCCTAAGATAGCTGTGATTTACATCAAACCTTAATCATGTTTTAAAATATCAAACTCCACCCCTAAACTCAACTGATAATCTTTTGCATTGTTTAAATGCAACATTATTGGGATCCTAAGTTATTATGCAAAAAACAGAATGAGTTTTTCAGTGTGTACAATTGTCTTGGGCGTGTGGAGGAAAGAAAATCCTAATTTGATAACTTTTCTGGCTCTTTAAATGCTACCTTATATGTGTTTATCACATTCCTATCAGATATATTTAGGTTCATGGTTGTAACCTACATTTCAAGTGATACGAATACTTACACACTCACTATACCGAGACGTCTTCAAAGTTGTTTTTTTGACAAATTGATTACCATTACCACTTCTAAGTCATCAGACTCTTTATACCAGTAATTATTAATGCAACAGTGCCACCGTGGTTAATAATATGCAACTCCAAATTGAAACCAGCAACGTATCAGAATGATTTTGGGGTGTGAAAGTTCACACTGACCCAAAACAAAACATCCCCATGCCTGGAGTCCAAACTAACTGAGATAGAGTTACACTTCCTGACCTTTAGAAATACCAAACATCTGTTCAGCCTTTCCCATCTATTCAAACATACAAATGGGTAGCAGTGTTTTTTTGGCCCATCCCTAACGCACAAAGGTTTTAGGGCCTCCCTATTCGCGGTGCATTGGCCGAGGAGCAGTTATCTTACAGTCTCTGTCAAATCAATCAAGCTGGAATTGTTTAGATTTTGGCCCAGGAAGAGGGCCAGCGTGTTTATGTGAGCAGACTATTAAAGCAAAGGATGAGGGATGTACAGAAGGGATTTATGGCATTCTCATCTCCACAGAATGAGTCTTATCAGTCGAGTTTGGCCTAAAACTTTGATGCCGTTTAAGTACAACTGCTGCTCTTTGTGATGTTAATATGGTTATCTAGTTTTGGTGAAAACCGCTATTTTGCTTCATCTACACTTCTCTTTCTGCGTCCGTGCGCTAAGCATTGAGAACAAAATATGATCATGTAGCTTGCGTCTCCAATGAATGATATCATGCATGTAAAAACAGCTTTGCTTTGGTTCTCTTGGCTCCTGCACAGCTTAGCATCACATCTTGTTCCTTCTCTCTCGAGGGGCTAGTTAACCCCCACATAATCTGGAATTCCAACAGACCTCTCACTCTCCTCCTCATATTCCTCAATGACCGCCATCTCTGCAACAGCCCTGAAACATTACCAAAAACCCTGCCGTCACTTGGCCCTGATTTATGGTGTCATTAATGTCAGGCTATCAGTGGACATGAGCGCATGAGACAACAGACGAGCCGCCCCAAAAACAAATAGTTTTGATTAAAGTCAAGGACATTCCGTGCAGCTTTTTCCGTAGAAAGGCATTCATCACATTTGATGTTGACCCTCCCTCCCAGCTTCCCTCTCTCTCTCTCGCTCTGTCTGTCTGCTTGTTCGGTAGTGGAGGTGATTGGGAAGGCGGCAAAAACCCAAAGGCTGAGCTAACAGAGATACAGACAGCTTATGTAGGCAGGTTTTACAAATTGGTGTGTGGTGCAAAGTTTAAACAGCAGTAATTTGATTAATTGAACACAAAAGGGATTACAGTGTAGAGCTTTATGTGAACAAACAATGGGTCACAGGCAGAAAGCTTGATTTTGCCATGCCTCTGTGAAATTGGGTCGTCAACAATTAACTCTTATTCACTCCCAGCCTCTTTTAATGATGCATTTGAACCTTTTTATTCCAGGGTGTAATGATTATACTGCAAACAACTTCAAAGACGTGTAAACAATAGACTTGGATGCACAGGTTTGATTTTATTGGTGATCTTCTCTAATCCGCACAATACAATGCCAATTAGGGAAATGCAGAAAAAAACATGTTTTTGAAGCCATTAACAGGCGACCTCCATTATTCTGTTTCTGTTTGGCCTCTCTGTAATTGACGACAAGCAGTACGACTCTTTTAAGCGTAGTCCACACATTTTTAGTTCAATTAAATGTTCAGTTCAATGTTAACCTGCTTTAACCATGCCAACCATTGTTCTGCTACAACATTAAATTGAGAAAAAGCTTCAGTCGTTTAACTGCTGGATTGTGGGGAAGTTGAAGAATTTGGATGCTGTCTTCCTTCTTCATTATTCTATTCACTTTGTAAAATACCCCAGTGCTGCTGGCACCAATGCAAACTTTCAGCTTGATGTTTCCATCGCCATGCTTACAACTCAGTGAAAATAAGCAAAGAATAATTTGAGAATAAATAATAATAAAAATATATATATTAGTGTATTCATATATTTGAGGCTGCATATTGAATTTTGACTGTGCATGAGAGAAAATTCACGATGAACTTAATTATTGCTTTTACAATTTATTCAAGTTTGTTTGTTATTTATTTAATTTGTTGTTGTTCTGGGAATTATCACTCCACCCCGACAAAGAAAACAACTGGAATGCCTCTTTAAAGCTCTAAATCATTGCGATATTCGAGCACATAACGAGTGTATGTAAATTTCTCATCGGCACCATAACTCACATCTACTCCTATATCCATCTCTGGAGATTAACGTTTGTATGTCGCTCGTTCCACTCATCACAGTATTAAGTGTTTGCTCTGTCAGTGGATACAAAGTCCATGCCAAGTCTTATTATGACGCCCGGAGAGTTACAAGTCACAGGGAGATAACAGAGATCAGAAATGCAGACAGCGTTTACAGTTCCCCAAACC